CGTGGACATAGCCCTACACTTGCATTTGTTTTAAATATCATAGGGAATACACACTGGGACAGTATGTGAAATCCCGGCTTAATAGATAGACTACTCTTATCAACAAGGTGCACCTTGTTTTCCGGGAGCCCACCTGAAAGGAACCTCAAAGTTAAGCATGCTCGGCTTGGAGCAATTTGAGGATGGGTGACCAACCAGAAGTTGATCCAGGGTGCGCATTAGGGAGGACAAAGTGCATAGGAAAGACTAGTGTTGGTCTGTGGGGCCAGTTTAGATCCCGGCAAGGAACCGGTGGGTGAACTAGTTGGTTTGGCCGGGGCATTACAATTGGTATTAGAGACGACCCTCACGGTTATACGGCCGTGCGTGAGTCAGGTGCGCGGGCATGTGGTGCATGGCACGTGCGGCCCATCGTGGCACACAGCATGTCACATGTGCCGGCCTGGACGCACAGACGTGTGCCAAGATGAAATGTTCCTACTGGGCCGACAAGTACGTCGGTTCCTTTGAGTGGGGGTGTATGTGATATCCCGACTTAACAGGAATGATAGACTACTCATATCAACAAGGTGCACCTTCTTTTCCGGGAGCCCATCTGAAAGGAGAATCAAAGTTAAGGGTGTTTGACTTGGAGCAATTTGAGGATGGGTCACCGACCCGGAATTTAATCCCGGGTGCGCCGGAGTAAGTACAAAGTGCGCAGGAATGAGTAGTGTTGGTCTATGGGGCCAGTCTAGATACCAGGCGCAACAGCCAGGAACCGGTTGGTTTGGCCAGGGCGTTACACAGTCGAAATCATCTCTAATTCTAGAGGGCACTGAAACCCCTTTACCTGGTTTCGTCGCCTTCCATTTGACCTTAAGTCGTTGAATGCACTGTGGCCGGTGATACACCCCTCGAGAGGCTAGTCGTCGAATAGCTGCTTGCTCGTTGTACCATCGAGGAAGAAGGCCGGTAGCACAAATACACGACAAAAAGAGCATCACTGACAAAACCACACTTGACACCATAGCAGCTGCCGTGATCAAGAAAGTCTGAAGCATTGGGCAGCAATCCGTCGGGGCCAAAACACCACATGCTCCAAGGTATTGGCCACGATGACCACACCATGACAAGCATAGAGCCGTGAGGCTTTTAGGTTCACATTGATGTCACAAGGGAGCTCTATACTAACCCATGGCTTAGCCGAGCTGGTCCACTGGAGCCAAGGTCATCACACGCAGAGAACACACCCAAAACCATGTCAAGTTTGAGTATGCCGAGACCTCCCAAATCCTTATGCGAGCATACCATGCCCCAGTTCACCAAAGCATGGCCAACACCGAAGTGCTCAACTTCACGCCTTTCCAAATGAAACATCTTCTAATTTTGTCATCATGAGGTAGATGCAAATGGCTGTGAGCACAAATTTGATGAGGACAATTCTTCCATCATGGATCTCATTTTTTTGCACCCACCTCGTCAACTTTGCCTCAAACTTATCAATGAGCGGCATGTAGTGGCATTACGATGGTTCACATGAATTCCACTTTCACACCCAAAACAATCGAGGATGCAAAAAGCCATTAAAAATTCGATGGTTTCTCTCTTTCCAGGCATTCCACACGATGTAAATAATGTGCTCGCTATGCCTCCGTTTCGTGTTAGTTGAGAAGATGCAAAAAGCTGTCCCACCAAGCGTCTATCAGGGGTAAGTGGAAGCTCAATCCGGAGGGACGTGGTTGTCCATCTAAGATAGCACAAGGTGGCGGACGACGGTGGTGAAGGGGCAGTCCCTACAAAGGTAGAGCACAGCCTCTACGGCCCTAAGACAAAGTTGGCAGATAGGATCATGCAACCAATCCTGTTGCACCGTTCGGTCCGTGGTGAGAATCTTTGAGTGGAGGACAAGCCAAGAGAAGAGTCTGCATTTCAACTCAGCTTGGGCTTTTCAAATTTCTCTACCAAGAATCTGCTATGAGTCTCGATGAATTGTGCCTCATAGGCAGAACTGGAGGAGTACTATTTACTGGAGCTCCAGAGCCAGGTGATGATGCCCGACTGATCGGGTTGAAGAGCCACCAAGCCGATGCCAAGGCAATGTACTCCCACACCTGCCCAAGTCTTTTTAATCTTGCCACCCGAGTGAATCCAGTTGTTGTCGTGTAGCTCACAATGTACCATCTTGTTTTTCCTAGTCACAATGTCAAAGAGTTGAGGGCAGCAGTGGCGGAGCACCCCAGCACCAGACCAGTTGTTGTGCAAGAAGGCCTTTCTACCTTCGTCAATGGTGATGGAGGTGGAAGCTTGGAAGATGTCCATGTCCACGGAGTCGCAAGGGAGCGAAGAGCCCACCCACAATAGACCAGGATCGTTCCACTGCAACCAAGGCCAATGCACATGGAGGCCCTCCCAAACCGGTCCAAATCGTGACAGACAGATCAGGATCGTTCCGCCGCAACCAAGGCCAATGCAGATGGAGGCTCTCCCAAACCGGTCCAAATCTGTGGCACCCAGCCCGCCAAGCACCTTGGGATGGCACACCTGTAAGTGCATCTAGTGCCACCCCTGGTTGGTTTTGAAGTATTGACGACAAAGTTGGTTGAGGGACTAATGCGTTTGTGAGAATTGCAGGATAACGCAGGTAGTGTCCCTCATTGATTCGGTTTACCTACCGGAGATGACCCCTAAAAATGTATGAACATTGACGACAATAGTGGTATGTGAAGATACTCATATTGAAGACTATGACATGAGAAGACATTGAGTGAAGACTATGGAGCGCGAAGACTGTGTCGTCTCGTTGTTTCCTTTTTCTTCTTTGTTGAGTCATAGGGACCACCATACTGTTAAGTGGGGTCCAAGTGAACAAAGTCAGAATGACTGAAGTGATGTCTAACACTCTTTGGCTCTGGGTGTTTGGGCTTGGTCCTCGCAAGGATTTCTCTCTCTCAAAGGCTTCGAGGTGGGTTGCTCTCAAACGACAAAAGCCGTGTACTAACTCTGAGCAGCCACCAATTTATGGTGTAGGGGGTGGGCTATTTATAGCCACAAGCCAACCCGACCTGATATGTCCGAAATGACCCTGGGTCACTAAGGAACTGACACGTGTTTCAACGGTCAGATTTCAAACACACACGTAAACTTTACTTGGGCTACAAGCAAAGTTGACGCATCCAGCTCTGGATAAGATTTGCTCTCATTGTCTTCGCTCGAAGACATAGGATTAGGGGTGAATAGGCGATTTTTATGAAAGTCTTCAAAACGTGGAAGTTTCAAAGATAAACAATAGAAATGACCTAATTGATATGCAGCGGAAGATAAACTACAACAATCACACCATAGTCAAGTATGCAATAATGTGAAAGTACAAAGATTAATAACAGCTTGGTAGTAAGGATCAGGATGGAAGATAATATGAAGCCAACCAACGATAGTAGTCAAGCAATGAAGTCAAACAGGTACAACAAATAGGCAATGACTTCACGAAGACAAACACTAAGTAAAAGGAGGGAGAAGATAGAACCAGTCACTTGTTGAAGACACATGGTTTGTTGGACCAGTTCCAGTTGCTGTGACAACTGTACTTCTGGTTAGGGAGGCTGAGATTTAACTCAGAAAATCGCGTCTTCACCTTATTCCCCTTGAGCTAAGGACACATAGTCCTCGCCCAATCACTCTGGTAAGTCTTCAAGGTAGACTTTCGAACCTTCACAGACTTCGTTCACCGGCGATTCACAATGACTCTTGGATGCTCAGAACGCGACGCCTAACCGGCTGGAGGATTCACAGTCCTCAAGTGTAATAAGTCTTCAGGTCACACAGACAGAAAGACTTTAGTGATGCCTATCACTCTTTGGCTCTTCAGGTCACATAGCATTCTGACTTTGTTCACTTGGACCCCACTTAACAG